ACTTTCGTCTTGAACCCCCCGAACCCTTCCGTGTTCAACGTCTCCTCCTCGTCTCCTATCTCCTTCCAAACCTTCTCTACCACCTTGTCCCATCTGATTCCCTTCTTTCCTGGAGTCGCTTTTCCCCAAGCTGCGTTGTCAACCATGGCTGGTAGTCGATCGTCCGACATTCTACTTACCTTGTACTGCCAATTCAACTTCTGCATGTCTCTCTTTGTTTTAAGAGAGTACATTCCCAATTCTGCTCTCAATACAGTGTTGCTCGTTGTACTTGAACATCCTAGTATTTTCTTGGCCGCTGCCATCTGCACCGTTTCCAGCTGCTTGACGGCCTTTTCGTTACCTTCCCATACCTCTCCTGCATACTCTAGCTTAGGTACAATCACATTCAAGAGAATACACCTCTTAATCCTAGTGTCTAGGTGTGGGTCCGTAAGGATCTCGTTCATCTGGCCTATCTGAGCTTTACCCTTCCCAATCAACTTCGCTATGTGTGCGTCCCATGAGCACTCCTTCGAAATCTCTACTCCCAGGTACGTATACTTGTCTACTACCGGTAGTTCTTCCTCCCCCCATTTCCATTTGAATTCTACGGGATTTTTCTTGTCTTCGTTACACACCACTACTGCGCATTTTCCTACGTTCGCCGACAGTCTCCATTTTCGGGTGTATCCTACCGCCGCATCTATTTGTTCTTGCAACCCTTCTGGTGTTTCGGATACCCCCACGAAATCATCTGCAAACATCAGTCCGGACACACTCTTTCCCCCTACTTGGACTCCCTGTCTTACTGCTTCAACCGCCCTTATCAAATCGTTGATGTAAATCTTAAAAAGAGTGGGTGACATCGTACAGCCCTGTGCGACTCCTTGGAGTATATCCACGTACTTCGAAATTTCCCCATCCAACATCACCGCACTTCTTGTGCATTCTGTCATCTTTTTCAACATCCTCCACATTTTCCCCCGGATGCCGATGTCCCACATCTTTTTCCACAATCCATTGCGCCATACGGTGTCGTAGGCTTTTTGTACATCGAGGAAAAAACAGTATGTCGTACGCCCGGGGGGGGGGGGATGGCGGGTGTGCCACGTGTCTACAGCAGCCGTTGTGGTTGGCTGCTCCCGTTTGTTTGTTTGTATTTCAACAGTCCAGCCTCCTGTATTTCTTTTGCGCCACGCGGCCCGGTTACGAAATCTGGTTTTGAAAACGTTGGTTGGTCAAACGCTTTTGGTATCTATGCAGCTTGCCTCGCCTCGGGTATCAGCTCTGTACCCACGCGTCCGACCTTCGCATTGCATCGGCGAGGTTTTCCGTGAGAATGCTGGGCGTGTTCGCGGGAACTGCCCAGGATTTATCAACGACGTTGTTCTTGTTTTTTCGTGCCGCTGCTTCTATCTTTAGAAGTCAGCGCTGACTATTATAGTGTAATGGTTTGAATTCGGCTTTTGAATACCGCAGGAACAGCGACACGTACAGGTGGCCCTCCGAGCTGCAGGTCATGTTGCGTCACCAGGAGAGGCTCGCCGAGTGGAACACCAAGTGAGTTACACGAAACACTCCGTTTTTTCTTCTGGTGACGGGCGGGCGAATAGTCTTTCTCCTTCCAGAAGGTCTACGGAAGCACTCCTCCCTGTCTCCCTTGGAACGCCCGTGGCTTCGCGCAGCTTCCGGACGAGCCTTCAACAGCGATTGTCTTGTCTTATTCCCCTCGCTCCTTTGATTGGACCGCGATTTGGACCCCCATGGTCGTGTGCGGCCGTAGGGGAAGATTCTTTGGAAGGACATGCTTTGATGTTTCGGATTTTGATATACAACTTCATCACGGGGAACAACACAGACACGCAATGCATGTGTCGCTATTTTGTCCGGGACTCGCTATGCATGTATCGCTATTTTATCCGAGACCGAGAATCTATTTTTTTTTGTAGTCACCTCAAATCAGCGCTCACAGCACTAGTGCCGTTTAAGTGGCCGCGGTTACGGTGTAGAACGAAGATGGCGCGGTTTCATCCCGTCCTGCCTTACTGCAGCCCGAAATCAGTTGGACGGGGCAAAAACAACTTTGAGAAGGTGGGTATACATCCGGACTGCCAATCTTTCTCCCGTAGGAGTAATCGATTTTGGAAAATCTATCCAGGGAGCGCGGTGTGTTGTCTCAAGGTCACCTACGGGGTACTACACGCGCCCGCAATAACCCGGTTGCCCCCCTCGCGCCCGCTCAAAACGTATTTGGCGGCGGCAGGCCTGCTTTCGGCAAGCGCGTGATGGTGGAGTTCGAAGATGGTATCTACTACCCGGGCACCATCAGCACGGATGGGGACAGCGCGAAGGACATCTACCACGCCAAGGGGAGGTGGGGCGTGCTTTTCGACGACTGCACTAAGGATCGCTTCCACGACGGCGCTACAGACGGTGAACATTTTTTTAGAGCCTTTACCAAGTAGCTCAGCGAACGCTTTCGGTGCACGGATGGACCAAGAAGTTGTGATGGCGCGGCATCCTTTTTTCTACTGCGGCAGCAACAGCGGCGGTAGTAGTAGTTTCACGTTGTGGTAATAGCTCACCCGGGGCTGCTGTTGAAGTCGGCGGTTGCCTTTCTGCGGTGCTTTCGTGGTCCTTGTCTGCACAAGCGCTAACGGCGATGAGCTGAACTTGCTCTCAACCCCTGGGCGTCGCACGAATTTGTCTTCCCGTCTCATTCTTCGATTGGCCTATAGCCCTTTTCCAGGCCACTTCCACTGCTCGTCATTCTGTCAACAAAATTTATCCGGTCGCGGCCTTTTTTCGAATGACCGGCTCTGTGACAACGATAGTGAATGACCCACTTTTGCGATAGGTGTCGTGGATGACGCATTTATTGTGCTGCAGTTGATTTTCGACCATCGACAGCAACACAGCCACAACAACAGCAACAACAACAACAACAACAACAACAACAACATGCAATAGCTGGCAACGACCGGTAGACTTTCAATTGTGGTACCTCGTGAAGCATTCTATGTTGTCTCGAAAGGCCTTCTCAACCACAATTGTTACCAAAGCTACCCCCAGAGGTTCTTGTTGTACGGCGGTATGCGGCTGATATCTACAGACCACGAGTTGTTAGGACTTTCAGAGTTTGAGTGATGCGAGTCCAGAGCATGCGAAGAAGGGCCTACTGAAACGTGGCTGCGTACAGCTCTCTTGGCCCACTTCCCTAATACCTCGGATTGATGTCCTCCAAGTGCGGTCGAGTGAAGAAAAAACAGCTGTAGTGCGACGACGCTTTCCGCTCTGAGCTGGACGCATGGCGCAAAGGCGTCAAAGGCGGAGGGTTGACAGCCTTTGGACGAGGCCGTTGACGCCCGTATTGCCCGCAACGCGCGATGACGAACGTCGAACCACCCGTTGTTCCCGTCTCGTTGACCCCCCACTCGCGCAGTCATGGTGTCTAACCAGCCCAGCCCGAGGTCGATCTCCGCAGAGCTTCGCGACTACTACCTCAAGCAAGCGAACGGCCGAGAGCTCATGGAAGGAGTGGAGGTTGTCCCAGGAGCGGCGGAGGTAGGCTGGCCCTGCCTTGGCGGCTGCAGATGCTGCTGTATTGCTTGCTGTCATTGTCTCCACGAAATACACCTTTACGGTCTCTGCTGAGCACCGTTATCCGTAGCGGTCCAGCTGACGCGGATGCTCTTTTGTGGTCACAGGCGACCGACGCAAGGAATGGGTGGTACACTCTTATGCCAATGCTGCGTTTTTTTCGTGTTGTTTTTTTACATCGCGGCTATGTATCTCGAAAAGGGGGTGTCGAGCTTTGTGCGATCAGTCTGTTCGTTGATCCTCGCCCCGACGTCGGTGCTGTAGGTTTGTTCTCTTGGATCAATCCTCGGGTCCGAAGTTTGGGAGGGACATCCGGCACAAGTAAATGTCGCCACCGAGCCCCCCAACCAGCACCATGCCCGTTGAGGGCACACGGAGCCTTGCAAGAACTACGGCCAAGAACTACCTACACAGCTGCGCCACCGCCCTTTCGCTCCCCCGCACCTCTCCAATTTTTGTCAGGAACCTCCCGCTAATAGTGATACTCTACCACATGACATCAGAGTTCCATCCCTTAATCCTCCGTCTGCCTCTGCCTGGCCGGCTCTGCTGCCCTCGCAGGATAACGGGCAGAGCCCGGCCGACACCGCTGGCTCAAAAAAGAAAAAGCACGGTAAATCGTCGCAGAATAGCAAGTCCCTGACGGAGCCTCGGAACAATCCGCGTGAAGCCGGGGATGTCACTCTCGAGGGCGCGGCACAGCGAATTGACAACTCCGGCGAGGCGACGGCAGGGACGTCGGGGGGGAGGGGCACAGGCGGTGCGGCGGTGGCAGCGGCGCCGAAGAAGAAGAAGAAGAAGAAGAAAAAGAAGCGCAAGCGCAAGCAAGAGGCTGTCGTCACTGGGGCCGAGGGAGCCGCAGAGGAGGGGGGGCGTAGCGCGGGGGAGAGGGTTAGCAGCGAGTGGGCGCCCGACGGTGTTGATGATGGCCGCAGCGGCGCCGGTCCATATCGCATTGAAAAGAGCGACAAGCGCTGCAAGAGGAAGAAAAAGAGTACCGGAAGCGGCGGCGACGGGAAGGGCGGGGTGGGCGGGGTGGATGGGAGCGGAGGCGGCGGCAGCGGCGGGGACGGCGACCTGCCCGGAGCAAGGGCCGACCCTAGCGCGTGGGAGAGCACCAGCAGGGGCGCGGCCCACGAAGAGTTTCACCACACCCATGTGACGGAGGTGGAGGAGAAACAAGAAGAAGAGGGAAGGGGCGCGGGGGAGTGGCCGGAAGCTCGGGGTGGCGGCTCGAAGCGCATGAAGGCAGGGCGCGAGCAACGGCAGCCCTCAAGCGGCGTCTTTGGTTCTAGTTGGAGAGCCAAGAGTAAAGCAGTCGAGGGCGCCGACGCGACGTCCAACCACGGCCCGGGTGCCATCGTCCCTTTTGCCCCAGATGACTCGGACCCTAGCGCGACGGTGGTGGCTGAAAGCGGTGGCGGCGGCGGAGGCAGAGGCGGGGGCGTGTGCGATGAAGACGACGGGGTCGAAGCGGTGTGGTCCCCGCCGTCGTCCAACTCCAGGCAGCGGCGGCGGCGGCAGGGACAGCAGCAACCCCAACAGCAGCGGCTCCCCCCGGCGGCACGCCGCAAGCACAAGCGGTTGGTCATCGAAGAGGAGGAGGAGGTGGAGGAGGAGGAGGAGACCGGCGACGGGACCGCCGTGTGCCACGAAGCCACCGCCGCCGTACCGCTCCGCGAAGCGGCCTCGCTACTTCCGGAGACTTCGTCGGCGGGCGCGATGACGAGAAGGCGACCGCTACAACGGCGACCGTGGTGCCGGTGCTACCGGCATCGTCGGCCTCTACCGCCGAGCTCACCACCGTGCACGTCCTTGCCTCCGGGCTCGGGGTGTGATCGGGCGGCGCCGTCAGGCTCTCGCCGTGGTGGCCGCTTTGCCCAACCCGCCCTCTTCTGTGGCTATAATCGAAACGTTATGGGTGTAACAAGATAGAATCCATCCCATGCAGATGCGTACATAAGATCTCCGGTACTAGAGCACGGAGTGACCTGTGACGGAGATCATGGCACACAACAAAGATTACATCGCATGATATTTCTTGCGTGAAATCTGGAGATCTCCGGTTCTGGTGGACATATTTAATAGTTGGCGTGGTGTGGACATGGTCTCGTATGCGATTGATAGCCGGTGCGCGGCCCTTGACTCGCCTCGATTCCTCGGGTTTGTGTTGCGTGTTGAGAGGGGGCAAAGGGGAGTTGAACATAAATGCGAAAACGTGCTGCCAACCGCGCCGGGGTGATGGTTGGCTCAATCGTCGCCCTCGTCTCGTCGTCAGGTTTTTCGCGCCCTCGACTCCAGAAGCGAGCCTGACCGGGCATCCACTTGCTTTGAGCGTTTTTTCCGGGTTTGAGGCGGGGGCGTGGAGTTGAGTGAAATAGGGTTTGTAGTGGACTTACACTGTTTTGTTCGCACCCTCGAGAGCTCGTTCGGAACCCACGTAAGGTAAATTAGGTTGTGGAGCAAAAAAATATGAAAGAGAAATTTATTCAAGAGAATTGTAAAGTAGGTGGCAGCAAGAACTTGTTTCCCATACCGCTGGCGATCCTCGGGGGACGGGCGGGGCGGCTAGGTTGAAACGTTTAAAGCAGATATAGAAGGCCAATTGGGGACGCGAAATGCGACAGTCATTGTGCGGGAGGTGTGTGCGTGAAAAGGTTTACAGGAGTGTGTGCTTGCGTCGTGGCTTGGTACGAGTTATAGACAAGGTTTGCGGGGCAAGAATGGTTGCTGGCGGGGGTTGGGCGTTCCGTCGGAGGCTGGTTCCGCCCATGTCTGGCATGCTTTCGATTCCGTACCGATCGCGTACCACTCTTGATGCATGCGTGTCCAGGCGGAGCCATGTGTACGTTTGGACAAAGGTGTATTTTGAAGCATGGTTTGGTTGCACACGGCCAGCGCAGTGCTCGACAACTTCGTCATCTATAGTGTCCACGGACGTAGGTATTTACCGGCGACCGAAGACATCCATGACACCTTCCACAGCACCAGTCCATGAGTCTTTTCCCGGCTATTGTCTGTTGGTCGACCTCGTTGTGCATGCCTCCGGGAAAGTGTTGCTCATCTAGACAATCTGAGTCCCACGCCACAGGGCATCATAGTTTTTGCGGAGCACTTGAATGCAGTAGGCCGGGGGCGACTGTCAGGGAGTGGACCCCACCGTTGATCTGGTGGTTTTCGGCATGTTCAACAGAGAACCGCTCAGTTTTGTCAGAGAATTACATTTGTGTAATAGGGAGCACGCGTGCACCAACACAAAGCTACATTATTCGTAGTCCTGCTGAGTGTATACACACAAACAAAGCAGCAGCAAGCAAACCAGAGCTTCACTCTCTCTCTCTCTCTCTCTGCAGTACAATAGGATGTAGTTGATTGATCACATGTCTTCGTACGTTTGCATATGAGAGTGTTCAGCATTCTACGCGGCGAGATAGGTGTAGATCACTCTGTGTAGCCCTACTCGAGTTGTGTGTTTTTGTGGTGCTGAGTGCAAGGGTGATGTCAAAAAGAACAAATGTGACGTGCAGCTATCAGTGAGGCATTGGCTTGTTCAACGCGGTAGCAAGATGGAAACACAACGTGTTCAATAAGGGGAACGAGCTGTGTAGGCGCCATGAGCATCAATGCCCTAATATGAACACAGGTTGTTTGAACGTTTACTTGTCGGAAGAGGAGAGCACACGTCTATCTCACGTGAAAAGTGTCCCATTCATGCGGCGAAGTAGTGGCATGTTGCGGGATTCTCACCCCCAGCGGTTTTGTCATCCCCGCATTTATCATCATCGAATGCAATCCATGGCGCCGGCAGCCCTTGCTGACTGTATATAGCCGTCGCACTACTGCTGTATTCTAACATTCATTCGTCCTGACCACACCCCCACGAGTACAGCAGCTTTTTGTACCTCATTTGATGGCTGCTTGCGTTCATGGTTTGTTTTCGTTTCATTGCCTCGTGTTTGTCGTAGTCTCATACGGT